GAAAAACCTTGATGAATGGAGATTCCCAAACCTCTCTGGGTAGCCTCTTCCAGTGCTTTACTACCCTCCTCATAATTTTTTTCCCTAATATCTAACCTAAACTTCCATTGCTGCAACTTCAGACCATTGCTCCTTGTTCTGTCATCTCCCCCCACTAAAAATAGTCTAGATTCCTCCTTTTTGGAACTATCCTTCAGGTAGTTGAAGGCTTCTATTAAATCCCTGCTCAGTCTTCTCTTCTTTAGATTAAGTAAACCCAATCCCCTCAGCCTCTCCTCAGAAGTCATGTGCCCCAGCCCCCTAACCATTTTCATTCCTCTCTGTTGGACACTTTTCAATTTATCCACATCCTTTCTGTAGTGGGGGACCAAAACTGGACACAGTACTCCAGATGTGACCTTGCCAGTGCTGAATAGAAGGGAAGAATCACTTCCCTTGATCTGCAGCCCAGTATGCTATTAACCTTCTTGGCAGCAAGGACACATTGTTGGCTTATATTCAGCTTATTGTCCACTGTAACCCCCATGTCTTTTTCTGCAGAGCTGCTGCTTAGCTAGTCAGTCCCCAGCCTGTAGCAGTGTGTGGGATTGTTCTTTTCAAGTGCAGGACTTTGCACTTGTCTTTATTGAACTGCATAAGGTTTCTTTTGGTTCTTTCCTCCAATTTGTCGAGGCCACTCTGAATCCAGCATATCTGTTACTCCCCCCAGCCTGGTGTCATCTGCACACTTGCTGAGGGTGCACTCTATGCCATCTTCCAGGTCATTGATGAAGATATTGAACAAAACTGGCCCCAGGATCAAACCTTGGTGCACTTCACTTTACACCAGCTGCCAACTAGACATTGAGCCATTGATCACCAACCTTTGAGTCCGGTGATCCACTCAGTTTTTTGTCCACTTTACAGTCTATTCATCCAATCTGAGCTTTCTTAGCTTGCTTGCAAAAATGTGGGAGACAGTATCAAAAGCCTTGCTGAAGTCAAGGTATATCGCTTTCACTGCTCTCCCCACATCCACAGAGTCAGTCATCTTGTCATAGAAGGCAGTCATGTTGGTCAGGCATGACTTGCCCTTGGTTCCTTGGATGACTGTTCCTAATCACTTTCTTCTCCGAGTGCCTAGAAATGGACTCCTTGAGGACCTGCTCCATTATTTTTTCAGGGATGGAAGTGGTCTGTAGTTCCCTGGACCCTCCTCCTTCCCTTTCTTAAAGATGGGCACTATATTTACCCTTTTCCAATCATCCAGAACCTCTCCTGGTTGCCACGAGTTTTCAGAGATAATGGCCAGTGGCTCTGCAATCACATCGGCCAAGTCCCTCAGCACCTTTGGGTGAATCACATCTGGCCCCACAGACTTGTACACATCTAGTTTTTCTAAATAGTCCTTAACCTGTTCTTCCGCCACTGTTGGCTCCTCACCTTCTCTCCAGAATGTGCTGACAGGTGCAGTAGTTTGGAAGTTAACCTTGGCTGAGAACACTTGAGGTGAAAAAGGCATTGAGTACTTCAGTCTTTTTTGCATCCTCTGTCACTAGATTGCCTCCCCCATTCAGTAAGGGACCTACACTTTCCCTGGTTTTCCTCCTGTTGCTAGCATACTGGTAGTAACCCTTTTTGTTACCCTTCGCATCCCTTGTTAGCTGCAACTCTACTTGTACTTTGGCCTTCTTGACTTCATCCCTGCATGCCCAAGTAATACTCTTATACTTCTCCCTAGTTGTCTGTCCAAGTTTCCACTTCTTGTATGCATCCTTTTTGTGTTTTAGCTCACTGAAAAGTTCCCTGCTAAGCCAGACTGGTTTTCTGCCATACTTGCTAGTCTTCCTGCACATTGGGATGGTTTGTTCCTGTGCCTGTTCCTTAGTAAGGTTTCTTTAAAATACAACCAGCTCTCCTAAACTCCTTCCCCACTCAGACTGGCCTCACAGGGGATCCTGCTCATCAGTTCCCTGAGGGAGTCAAAGTTTGCTTTTTTGTAGTTCATGGTCCTTGCTCAGCTGCTACTCTTTATAATCTTGAGGAAAGGAAGAAACTCACTCATCTCATGGTCGCTACTGACCAAGTTGCCATCCACATTCCTCATCGTTCTTCATCAATTCATCCCTGTTTTCAAGAAGAACATGGTCCCTAGTTGGCCTCTCCAACACTTGCACTAGGAAGTTGTCCACAATACTCTTCAAAAACGTGCTGTATTACCCACCCAGCAGATGTCAGGGTGATTGAAGTCCCCCATGAGAATCAGGGCCTGTGATAGGGAAACTTCTGCTTTCTGTTTGAATAAAACCTCATCCACCACTTTCTTCTGGTCTGGTGGTCTATAGCAGACACCCATGATGACATCACCCATGTTGCTCTCTCCTCTGATGGTAACCCAGAGACCATCAAGAGGCCTATCTCCAGTTTCACAGTGGAGCTCTGAGCAGTTATACAGCTCTTTTACATAAAGCGCAACTCCTCCTCATCCTCTTCCTTCTCCACGTCCTTCTCCCCTGCCTGACCTTCCTGAGCATTTTATTACCTGTCCATGACAGTACATCAGTCATGCAAGCTATCCCACCAAGTCTCTCTAATTCCAATTACATTATAGTTCTGTGACTGTGTGAGGACTTCCAGTTCTTCCTCCTTGTTTCCCAGGCTTTGTGCATTCATGTACAGACACCTGCGGTAAATAGCTGATTGCCCTACTTCCTTAGAAAGAATGAGAGGGCCTGTTGCCTCCTCCTGCTTGTGCTTCCTCGAGGTCAGCCACTTCCCAGCTTTCCTCAGGGTATTGGTCTCCAATCCCCGATGAACCTAGTTTTAAAGCGCTCCTCATTAGGTTCGTGAGCCTGTCTGCAAATATGTTCTTTTCTTTCTTTTTCAGGTGGATTCCATCTTTTCCTAACAATCCTTCTTGGAATAACAACTGTGGTCAAAGAAGCCAAAACCCTGCTGGCAATACCATCTGCGCAGCTATTCACTGATTTAGCATTGCAGTGTCTTTCAACCATTTCTCTGGGTGTCTCAGTCTGACACCTCTCTCTTCCTGCCCCTCTTTACAGGCAAATCTTCCCTAACAAACTCCCTTGAAAGGTGGCCTGTTCACTGCTCCTTGGTCTTAAATGGTTCCCCTCTCCCTGCTAAACTGCTTCCGTTCACCGAGCTTACAGTAAAGGAAGGTGAGAGAGTTTCCAGGCAAACTCCCTAGCCAACTCCGCCTTGTTCTGGACTGTTTAAACAAGGAGATTATATATTAGCCATATGGAAAGGTTGGGTTCAGAACAATGTGTTCCCTTTAGGAACACATGAGATGAATTTTATCTACTTACATTACATATAGGTAGGTTAGTTGCTCTTAATTAAAGGAAGAGCTTACCTTAAAGGCTCTCCTTCAAAAAGGGGGGCAGCAAACTGACCTGTGAACTGCTTATAAACTGCCCAGTTTCTTGCCCCTGTTTGTTCACTCCTTGGTCACTTAGGAAGTCTCTTTTTATACCCTCCTGGGCCTGGAATGGCTTTACCCCCTTGTTAATACTTTTATAGTATTGAGAAGGTGGTTTTAGAATAGTTGGGGTTTTTTTTTTTAAACCAAATATATGAAATTAAAATTTACTTTACAAATTGTGATTTGTTTCAGTACAGTTAGTAAACCTGAACAAGGGTGAAAATAACATGATGAGTTGAATAAAGTAAAAATAACCTGAATGGTATGTGTACCTGGAGAACTATGTTAAAGAATTCAGCTCCTTTGTTAGCTTGCTATACCATAAAGCTAGTCCAGCTGAAACAGAAGTTGATTTCTGATCCTAAACTCTGGCTCACTTTTGTGCTAAATGCAACAGCTTGCTTATTTTGTTACTCATGCACTGCTGATCAGGTCAGGGTCAGAGACAAAAGAAAAAGTAAACTATTCAGTTTTAAAATACTCCATTTTTGAGAATACTTTGAAGTAGCTTTCCCAGTACATATTTCAACACAACATCTGTATGTACAAAAAAGACTTGCTGAGCAAAAGTTGCTACCTTATATACAGTTAATCATGGAGAAGTTTGAAGGATGTGTTGAAATGGGATGCACTCAAATGTGCATGTGTGACCTGAGTCTGCATCCACTGAAATCAGAGGAAAGACTCCCACTGATCAGTGGGCCTTGGATCAGGACTTTTATCTGATACAAATTAGCAGTCATTTAACTGAATTTTATATTGGGCCTCTGAAACTCTCTAAAATGTGGTATTTTCATTTATTGATATGTTGGTCTCCAATTGTCACATAAATGGTTTCTAAACGAGCAAAGGATAGAGATTAGTGTTCTCCTGCTGTTTTTATTAATACTAATAAAGCTGTGAAAATGTTTGAATGGAATCATTTTCTTCTTTTGCTGAAATGAAGCATTCAAACTAATTTATACTAAGTATGCCAGAATAAGTAAAAATACAGATTCATTAGGCACTAGATTTAGACCGGGGGTGCTCAACCTCCGGCCCACGGGTCTGGCAATTTGGGAGCAGGGGAGCAGTGGCTATTAATACGGCCATCCTCCCCCCCCCCCCAAGCCCCAAACCCTATTCCCTGGGTGGCCGGTTGGAACCAAGCTACACCCCATTCCATAGCAGGGGCAGGCCCCACTCCCTGCTTCTGGATCAAGGCTGGGCCTCACCCTGTTTCCTCCCCGCAGAGCTGGTTGGGACCTGGCCATGCTGCCTTGCCTCCCATTGGGGCAGGGCTGGGTCACACCTCTTCTCCCCCACAGGGCCGCACAATGCTGCCCTTCATTTCCATGGAGTGGGGTAAAGCTTCTTTCCTCTGTGGGGCTGCACTGGGGCTGGCTTGCAGCCTAATCCCCCTCCCCGCCTTCCCCCCATGGGCCAGATGGTTACCCCTGTGCCTGGCCAGGCACTAGATTGGGAGCACTAGCTAGATCTGGGCCACAGATTGGCCAGGCAAAAAGGTGGAGCACCATTGGTTTAGACAGCTCTGAGTCTTTCTAGTTGTTTGAAACATTTTGTCTCTTTTCAGGTCCCAGTACAATGGTCAGATATGGTCACTTTAAAAGCCAGGATGACCAATTATGGCCTACCTAGATACCAGTGGCTTACCCATGCTTGGAATTTCTTTCAAAGGGAGGTAAGAAGATAATTAGTTCATTAAATACAATAGTGTGAACTTAGTGAGTGGTACTTTCCTGTTGAAGGAAAAGCTGAAAAGGTGAGACTTTTCCTGTAAACTAAATGAAGGCCTGTGGATTGGTGTTTTCATCAAGAGAGAATTTGACATTAACCATCCTAAACTTTTGCAGGTTCTAAACATATAGAAATTATGTATGTTCATAATTTCATCTCCCCTCTTCTTTTTTCATAATTTGTTCATTATTCCAAGGATATGCTATGCTGTATTTGCATCTGATGTATATCTAGAGATAAAATTGTATATTTTTAAATTAATGACTCATAGACTTGCCTTATAAAAACCTCATCAACCTTGGGCGTGTAGTTGCCCCTATTTAGAAAACCTAGTTTCTGGATTACATCTGCAAATCAAGTAACTTTTAAAAACAGGTGGTGGTATAGTATTCATTGTATAATTTGTATTATTATAGTGTGTAGCATTTCCTATACTGTTTTGTAGGTGCAAGCATAATCTAATTTAATTTTGGGTGCAGTGATTGATTAAAAAAAACTCATGGGAAAAGTGTTTTAAAGCTTTCAATATGCAGCATGCAGCAAAAAATAAGAACACCCTTAATGTGAAATAATTACTTGTTGGAAACCCTAACTTTCTTGTATTCTTCAGTAAAATTAAGAATGAAGAATTAAAAGTTGTCTCCTTCTACCTTACGTTTAGAAAACAAACATTCTTTGCAATGTTTTAGCATTATAGCACTCCTTTTGTTACATGCTCTGATTTTTAACTCCCTTTCTACAGACTTGCTACATTTTGAGTTATTGGCTGGAAAGGAGTATGAAAGGCAGTCTAAGCAGTTGCCAATACTGTCTCTTGGGCTGTAGTTCCCTAAAATGGTCAGTTTTTACTTCCTGCTACCAGGAGGGAAAAAAACTGGCTTGCAGTTTCACATCTTTGCTTCATAGCCTGTTGAAATACAGATCTGTTTTTAAAGAATGAACTATTATGTCACAGAAACATGGAAGTGCACAAGGTAAAAGTCATTAACCCCAAATATATGTTCATGTGCAGGAAAAGAACTTCTTAAATGCCTGTCATTGTGTTGCCCATGCTGAAATGTTGAAATCTATCATTGTTATACAGATTTCCTGTTTATTTAAACATTTCCTGACTACATTTGATTAGTCTCTATTTGTGTTAGAACCTGCAAGAAAGAATATATAAAGGTTTAGAAGACTTTAAGCATTTTTTCTGCTAAAACTGTTCAGATGGTACAAGAAACAAAGAAATCCTTCATGTATAGGTAGACTGAAAGTCTTTTCTTTTTCTCTACCTGAAATGTGTATAAACAATTCATAGTTATAGTGCTTCTGATTTCCATGCATGCAGCTTTACAGTATCCTTGTCTAAAAGTATGGGATGACTGTAATATTGGAAAATTGTTTCTATTCAAACATGATTTTAAACAAAATGAAAAAAAGAACTTCCTTGTCAAAAAATACCCAAAACCCAAACCCTAACTTTTTTGGGAAAAAAACCCCTTTATAGTTGAAATTTCTCATGTTCAGTCTATGACTAGAAGGGACAGTTTGGGGAAAGGTTAAAGTTAATTGGACAAGCTGTTTTAGCACTACAGCCTGCTGGCTGCCTAATTGGTGTGGTCTCATTTTTGAGCATTATGCAAACTATTTTTATCTACTCACTGCTGAGATGTTGTATGTGAGAGCCTTGTATGTATTGTGTGCATGACTGGGCACCGTGCATAGGGCTGTTTTTATGAAGTTGGAATGCAAATTTCTTAGTTCATAAAGGATCAGTTTTTATCAGCTGTGAACTCTGTCTTCTGTGTTTTATGGCTTCCAGAAGAGATGCTTTATCTGTTTTATCTCAGCTTTTCTGCCTTTCCCTCTCTTGCGTTATTTAAAGACCCATTTGCTGATCTGCTAACCAAAATGGTTGAACCTGAGGCTGAGAAGGGGGAGATTGAGAGAGAAAATTGAGATTGGGAGGTCACTGACAAAGCAGATAACAAGGGAACAGAAACAGAAAAGAAAATAAGTTTAGGAAGGATAACATGAAGGGCTAAAGGTTTGAATTCTTTTCTCCTGAAACACTTCCTGTGGATTGAATAAAAACTTTGCCTGTGTGAAGAGTAGGTAAAAGCTAATTTAGGATTTGGCTTCTGACAAGACAATATGTCAAGAGTGTCAAACTTGAACCAGGAAAGCCAAGGCTGCAACTGAACTCCACCTGGCTACACGTATCAAAGACAATAAAAAGTCCTTTTTTAGATATGTAGGGAGTCAGAGGAAATCAAGGGTAACATTGGACCCCTGCTAAACCATATGGGACAACCGACGCCCAGGAAGAAGCCAACCTGCTGAATGGGTATTTTGCATCAGTTTTTCAGCAGGCCCAAGGGACGGCCCTGCTCAATATGGTATGGGATGGCCAGGGTGAGGGAGAATTGTTACCCTTCATCAATGTAGACTATGTGCAGGAACACCTTGAGAGGCTGGACACCTTCAAGTCAGCTGGCCCAGATAGCTTACACCCCAGGGTACTTAAGGAGCTGGCAGGCATCATAGCTCAGCCACTGGGACAGATCTTTGAGAACTCATGGCATTAAGGTGAAGTTTCCAAAGATTGGAAGAAGACCAGTGTGGTGCCTATCTTCAAGAAAGGGAGGAAAATAGATCCAGGGAACTACAGGCTTATCAGCCTGATCTCTATCCTGGGGAAGATCGTGGAAAAAATTATCAAAGAGACCATTCTTGACAAATTGGCTGATGGCAACATCCTGAGGGATAGCCAGCACGGGTTTGTTGTGGGTAGGTCTTGCCTGACCAATCTCATCTCCTTCTATGACCCGGTGACATATCACCTGGACAAGGGAGAAGAGATTGATGTCATATATCTTGACTTTAAAGAAGCTTTTGATCTGGTGTCCCCTGATTATCTCGTGGAAAAATTTGGCCATTATGGCCTCAGCTGTATCACAGTCTGATGGCTGGGGAATTTTCTCTGAGGTCGGACTGAGAGAGTGATAGTCGATGGAAGTAAATCATCGTGGTGCTCCGTGACCAGTGGGGTTCCCCCAAGGCTCCATCCTTGGGCCTATACTCTTTAACATCTTTATCAGTGATGTGGACATTGGTATCAGAAGTGGACTGGCCAAGTTCACTGATGACATCAAACTTTGGGATAAAGCGTCCACACCTGCAGACATGATGGTGATCCAGGCCAACTTTGACAGGCTCAGAAAATGGGCAGACAAAAACCTGATGGCGTTCAACACTGAAAAATGTAAGGTACTCCACCTTGGGGGAAAAAAAACCCTGCAGCACACTTATAGGCTCAGCAGTGTTACACTTGCTAGCACCATGGCCGAAAGGGACTTGGGTGTCATGATTGACCCCAAGATAAATATGAGCCACCAATGTGATGTCACAGCTGGTAAAGCGAGCAAAACTCAGGCTTGCATCCATAGATGCTTCTCAAGCAAATCCCAGAATGTCATCCTCCCGCTGTATTTGCCTTGGTGAGGCTGCAGCTGGAGTATTGCATCCAATTTTGGGCTTCACAATTTTAAAAGGGTGTGGAGAAGCTTGAGAGAGTCCAGAGGAGAGCCACTCACATGATCAGAGAGCAGGAGAACAGGCCTTATGATGAGAGGCTGAGGGTCATGGGACTCTTCAGCCTGGAAAAGCGCAGGCTCAGGGGGGACCTGGTGGCTGCCTATAAGTATATAAGGGGTGTGCATGAGGATCTGGGGGAACGTCTGTTCACCAGAGCGCCCCAAGGGATGACAAGTTCAAATGGTCACAAACACCTCCCAGACCATTTCAGACTGGACATAAGGAAGAACTTCTTTACTGTCTGAGCCCCCAAGGCCTGGAACAGACTGCTAGCAGAAGTGGTGCAAGCACCTACTCTGGACTCTTAAGAAACATTTGGATGTTTATCTTGCTGGGATCCTTTGACCCCAGCTGACTTCCTGCCCCTGGGGCAGGGGGCTGGACTCGATGATTTTCCAAGGTCCCTTCCAGCCCTAATGTCTAGGAAATCTAGGAAATCTTGGGGCAGAATCAGTCCATGGGTAGGCCAGTCCCACAGACTGGATTGGGCCTATGGACCACCCCCGCTTTTAGTCTGGGACCTGGTATGAAGAGGCGTGGCAACCTGGGTTATTGGCTATTGCCAGAGGAACAAGCCATGGTGCTGGGCTCCTTCGCATAGTGATGCTGGGGCTTCAACACTTTGGCTCTTGCCTGGGCACTTGGCTATAGCCACAGGAAGTTCATGTTCCCCCATCAAGTCTGTGCATTGGATGACCTGCCTCTGCAGGCTGTATCTAGCCCATGGGCCATATGTTTGACACCCATGGAATAGAGAATTTAAAATGGATAGAAAACAAAGAGAAGAGGAAGTGCTGGTCAAGCCAAGATATGATGGAGAAGAACATAGGAATGGTGTCTTGTATTTATCCATTGCAAAAGTGGGTCATAGAGGGTGCCTCTACACATGCAGGATGCCTGTTTTGATGTGTTCTATTTGGAACACTTCAGTAGCCTGACTGTCACATATATTCAACATCCCCATGCTTCAGAATAGCAGCGGGGGCGCTTAACTAAAACTCGTTGAACAAGCTTTAGTTAAAGCACCCTTGCTGGTATTTTGAAGTGTGGGACACTGAATACACAAGACACTTCAGGCATTTTAATTAGAGCAGCTCTGGAGAGCTGCTCTAAGTCAAATGCCCCACCTTCTGCACTCCTCCCCCCCCCACACCCCTGGAGCATGTGTATAGGCACCCAGAGAGATTTATGAGACCAACACTTTTCAACACTCTGGCTTGAATACAGCCTGGAAAAACAGACATTTTTTCTGTTGCAAATTTTTTGGTAGTAAATTTGTTTCTTTTATTTTGATGAAAGAATACAAGTTACTCTTCCTGTTGATTCTGAGGGTCTTCTGTTGCTGTAAGAGTTCGTACTACAGTGACTTGTTCCATTTTTCTTTTCTTTTTTTTAGTGTCTTACCTTAGATTATTTCTTTGCTCTTTCTTTTCCCTTATTTCCCCCTTTACTTTCTCTGACAAATCTTTTCCTGTGCATGCTGTCTCCATTCTCACTCAGATTTACCCATAGCCTGTTGTATTTTTGTAGGGATACTCCATGCCATTAGGGCTTTGTCATTCTCCCCATTATAGGGACAACAGTAATAATTGATGGGATGATTTCTCTGAAGCACCATCTGGCAAATTGGTTGAGAATAAGGTTAAGTACCGATAGTCAAATAGCCTGAGGTTGAATGATTCAATCTTCGCAGGTTAGTTTAAGCTGTGTAGATTGAACTGATGAGCATGTGAACAGACATTCACTTTTGATTCTGGAAATGCAGCCACATGCCTGCAGTGGCCCAGGCCAGAAGCTGGAGGGTGCTAGAGCTTGCCTTTCTACTCCACGGGAGCAGACAGCTTGGGCCAAGGCTAGCCTGCTCACTTTGCAAGGGAGGGGGGCAGAGGTTGCAGGGAAGTACAAAGCATCCTGGGATCCTGAGGGAATGTGGATTAAATTTGAAATTGGAGGGGATCTGGGACAATTGAGCCTAAATCAACTAAGTCTGATACTACATCCATCCAGGTTTATCTTAAACTGGTTTTGGCTATTTTGAAAGCAGTTTATGTGCACTGAACTTCTGTTGTGTTACAGACTTGAGCCAGTTTATGATCATCACTTATACCAGTTTGTGTAATTCCTGTCCCTAGCCTTAAAGGACAGATTGCAGTGCAATGTAACTGGCTATTGACTACTTTTGTCTCCATCTTATTTTAGTTAAATCTCTGGGCACTGTAAAGGAATCAATAAAACATGGCTGCCAGAGAAAACCAGTAATATCCCATGTATGTTGGGTTCATGCAAATAATTTAAATAGGTTTAATTTGTATTTGATAAGGTTGTTTGCTGACTAGCTTTTATGACCAAGGAGCATCATAGTGTAATTACTCATCCTGGCTGATCTTTCCTTTGCAGTTTAAGTGCTGTGGAGTAGTGTACTTCACTGACTGGCTGGAAATGACAGAGATGGACTGGCCTCCTGACTCCTGTTGTGTTAGAGAGTTCCCAGGATGTTCCAAGCAGGCACATCATGAAGACCTTAGTGACCTTTATCAAGAGGTAGAGAGAAAATACTTGAATATTTCAAATGATATTTCAAACTGTCTCCTGTCCATGTTACTGGTATGTTCCAAGCACATAATGTGTAATGTAGAAGAAGGGTTGTTACTGAAACATGTTTGGAATGAGGTTGTTCAGGAGCAGACTGTGATCAAAGTAGAAGAGCAACCAATCCTTGCTCTCTACCTGTTCCTCAGACTGGAGTCCCTGGTTTGAGGAGTTGACAGGGGGCTTTGCTCTGCTGTGCTCCCCTCATTCCCCCAGACATCAGTCTAAAGGATGAGCAGGGAACAATACTTCCCTCCTGGACTAGACCAGACTTCAGTCTTGTAAGAGAGTTTCTCTCACAGTGGAGTTCTTTCAGGTTCACAACTAGATCTTTCTCCTAAAAGGGGCATGTTTCCCCCAGGAGAAATTGAATGAACATTAAACACTTGCAATTTATACTGGGAGAGCAGCAATTCTCCCAGTAGAAACATAGAGCCTGGATTTGGCGAATATTAGATTTTTCTGTTGACCTTCATAGATAGTAGAACTTTCCTTAGCAAATCAAGGTGGTCTAAGTCATGGTACGAAATTAAAGGTCCAGGCACAAGAATCAAAAAGATGAACTTTTCAGGGAGGCAAAATTGCAAAAAAAAAAATTCTTTCCCTGTTGTAACCTACTACCATTCGAAATAAATGTATGAAGTAGATATGTGGAGTAAGCTGATGATATTGTATATGGTTGTTTTTTAGCATAGAAGTAAGCTTCCAAAACCTGATTCAATAACCTAACACCATTTTTGCGGTTAAAGCAGTAGTACAAGTGCCCCCCCCCACACACTTTA